CCCCCCCCCCCTCCCCCACCCCCCTTATAGTAGGAATTCTTAAGTTGCTTAGAGTCTTAGCTCGTATTTGATAGTCTAGATGTGCATTGGAGTTCTGTTTCTAGACGGATTTCCTGTCCTCATTGAAATCTAGCCAGGAGTCCTAATTTTCTCAATCTATGGTGAGGAAGGTAAAGGTTATGAAATCTCTGATCTTGATTTATTTATTTTCCATTAATTTGAATCTACTCACCAACGATTTCAATTCCCAACTCAATTTTTTCCACTCTTTTAGCCGTGCTATAGTGCCAACGCCATCTTACATTTTGTTCCCTTTCAATCCTCTTATTTGACAGTTGATGGAAATCTTCGTTGTGATAAATGGCTGAGGAGTGATATTGAAGACTCAAAAGAAACAAAAACATCCTCATGGTTCAAGAGATTCATAGGGAGGGAGCAGAAGCCAGAAGTAACCTGGCCATTTCCCTTTGTGGAGGGTAGATTGTTTATCCTCACACTACGTGCAGGCGTTGATGGATACCATATTAATGTTGGGGGTCGGCACTTGACTTCTTTTGCCTATCGCCCTGTAAGTATGTGGAGAAGAGGAGGATGCAGATAGCTATTTCATATTCATTCGTGTTTGATGTTTTTCTTACTGCTGCAGTTGGTATAGATCATCTCTCCCATGCTGTTTTAACATTAATTTTCTTACATCTTTGTTCGACTTTCATTTAGGGATTTACGCTTGAAGATGCAACTGGATTAGCTGTAAAAGGAGATGTAGACATTCATTCTACATATGCTACATCTCTTCCTACCTCTCATCCAAGCTTCTCTCCCCATCGAGTTCTTGAGATGTCAGAGAAATGGAAATCTCAGCCTTTACCAAAGAAATCGGTCTATCTTTTTATTGGTGTTCTATCTGCTACTAATCACTTTGCGGAGCGCATGGCTGTTAGGAAAACTTGGATGCAATCTTCAGCTGTGAAGTCATCAAATGTAGTTGTTCGCTTCTTTGTTGCACTGGTATGACTCTTGTGTTCATCCCTCTAAGGTATACGTGTTCCATTTTTCTGGCAACAAAATCTATATATGCTATTTTCCACGGACAATGGAATAGGTTTACATATGAAAGGAAAACAAGAAAGCATGCAATGGTTAGCCATGCTGGTTCACATTTTTTTAAAATAAGAGTTTATGAACTGCGCTGCAATGTTGTATTGTACTCCTGTGAGTCGGATGTGTTCTTGTATCAACGCCATTGAAGCGGCGGTTCATATTTCTTTTCATTATTGTTATTTTGTATTTCTTCTCATGTATAAACGCGCCGTGTAGAATCCGAGGAATGAGGTCAATGCTGTGCTGAAGAAGGAAGCCGCATACTTCGGTGATATTGTGATCCTGCCCTTCATGGACCGCTATGAGCTAGTTGTTCTCAAGACTATTGCTATATGTGAGTTTGGGGTGAGTTTGCGTTTCCCTTCTTCTGTTTATCAGTATTTGAATCTTCTTTGTAGAACTTTGTTGTATAAACTGACTAGTGTTTGACTTTAGTGTATGCTGTTTTTCATTATGTGTTAAGTACTCCACTTTTCTCCTTGTAGGCTGTGAATTTGACGGCTTCATATGTTATGAAATGTGATGACGACACCTTTGTGAGGGTGGAAACTGTTATAAAACAGATTGAAGGCATTTCATCCAAGAAGTCCCTGTACATGGGCAATCTCAACCTCTTGCATCGCCCTCTCAGACATGGAAAATGGGCAGTCACATATTTGGTACATTGAATAAAATTTGGCTATTTTGTGCTTTTATCCTACTTGTTGCATCCTTGAGTTACAACGGCTTGGCTAATCCACCAGTACTTCTAGATCACTTTCGTCAATCAAGAAATGTTTAGCATAGCATTGCTGCTTGAAAACTAAGATTGGCCATTGACATAACTCCTCCTAGGCTAGCACAAAGGAGGGCTTTTTCTGATGGAAAGAACTCGGTATTGTTATTCATCAACAAGAGGGTATAAATCTATGGAGGACCGGGTAGCTTATTCGCTCTCGACCTGATTATCCAAATTCTCATCATAAAAATTGTGAGGTTCCACATCGATTGAAGAGGGGAACGAAACATTCCTTATAAGGGTGTGGAAACCTCTCCCTAACATACGCATTTTAAAACCTTGAGGGGAAGCCCTAGAAGGGAAACCCAAAGATGACAATACCGGCTAGCGGTGGGCTTGGGCTGTTACAAATGGTATTAGAGCGGGGGTGGATTGTAAGGTCACCATCAGTTGGAGAGTAGAACGAAGCATTCCTTATAAGAGTATGGAAACCTCTCCCTAGCATACGCGTTTCAAAACTTTTAGGGGAAGCCTTTGAAGAGAAAGCCCAAAAAAAGATAATACCTGCCAGCAGGCAGGCTTGAACTGTTACAAAAATATACCCCCTCACAACACTTGCATTCTCAAACATTTCCTTCCCGACTCTCTTTCATTCCTATTTCTCATCACTTGATTCAATTACAAAAGTCTGCCCACCTAACCCCCTTTCCTTTAATATACATTTATCACTGATGGCCTATCACTCTCTTTACACCTTTTAAACAATCCTTTTTGTTTCCTTTCTCATGCGAATGATTTATTTCCATGTACGGTAACAGGAATGGCCAGAAGAAGTGTATCCTCCATACGCCAATGGCCCAGGATATATCATTTCCATTGACATTGCCAAATACATTGTGGCTCAACATGAAAGCAGGAGCTTGAGGGTCAGTTTGAGAATACAAGCCTTGATGTCTCTGTTTGTTTGTTTTATACCGCTTTTGTGTATTAACTTGATGTTTTTGACATGAAAGATATTCAAGATGGAGGATGTGAGCATGGGAATGTGGGTGGAGCAGTTCAACAGTACGGTGGCGATCGTTCAGTACTCGCACAGCTGGAAATTCTGCCAGTATGGGTGCATGGAGGACTATTTTACAGCACACTATCAATCTCCAAGGCAGATAATTTGCCTGTGGGATAAATTAACGCAGGGCCAAGCTCACTGTTGCAACTTCAGGTGACAATTTTCCACGATTTTTACCCGCTCTATTTCTACCTGTGTTTATTGTTCAGTGTTAGCGTTACAAACTGTGATGCATGATAACTGTTAATTTTTTTTTCTTCTTTTCTTTTTATGTTTCATCAACAACAATTTTCCTGTATAGATTATAATGTGGAATGGGAATTTTGATATGAGGTAGCATGATTACTCCCCTTGTTATTTCACTTTCACCCCAACTCTTTGATCTCATAATTATTTTCTATATACCAGCCATTTTTTTAATTATTATTTTCAATTTTATACCCAATAAGTCAATTACTTTTGAATTCTAAAGATTTTCGTATCATATTTAAGAACTTGCAAAGGATAATAGCGAATAAAAATGTACTGGTATAAATTTGTCACAAAAAAAAGAGGTAAAATAAATAAACACGAGCAACTAGAAACAATTCTTTTTGGCCGATCGATTTTAACGTAATCGATCAAATATATATTTTAAATTTAATATTGAGATATTCGAATTTCTACCCGTACACGTCATTAAATTAAAAGAAAAAAAAGAATATTTTCTTGTTTTTGGTTTTGGGAGCAATCTTAATTTAAAAGTTTTGAGGAATTCAATGTTGGGAACGAGAGGATAAGATGAGCAAATTGCAAAAGAAAAGGATTTGATTTGAAGTAAAGCCTTAAATCTTCTTTCCCTCCCATTGGGTCTTGGAATTACATGGGTCCTATCCTTCCCAATCAAATTTGGGGGAAATTTAATATACATTTTTCATTAATTTCATTATATTTAAATAAATACTACTATTAATATAATTTTAAAGAAATTTAATATATCAAAATTCACAATTTTCAAATTAATCTTTTTTTCCCTTCAAATTTAGCATAAATATTTCACCCAGTTATAATATATTTTTTTAACAGTCCTTCAGGATATATTATAAACTAAAATTTTATAATAAAAATTGAGTAAAACTAGATATTTAAATAACTAACTAACAAACAAATAAATATCTGTGTGCAAGTGTGTTCGCACGTGCCGGGACCATGTCCGACGTGTCATTTATCAACTTGCTTTTGTTCCTCCGTCGTTGCCGACACGACACCCGTCTGCCTTGCTGGATCTCATGCCGTCCTGGCGCGTGACGAAGACAATGGAATAAATTTCCCGGTAGGTCCAACTCTCTTACTGGGTCCCGATTTACTGTCGGTAGCTCCGGCGCGTGTTCCTCACGACCTCCACTGCCAAACAAAACGGTTTCTACGCGGCCGTTGGATGCGTCGTTAACATTCATATCGGGACCACTTGCTGCCAAACACAAGCGTTCCCGCGAAGAAAAATCTCCACGTGGCGCGTCCACCGCGACGGAAATAGGGACGTGGCTGATATTTGTTTTTTAAATTTTATTTGTAGTCACGGAATTTTTATGATACTTAATGAATGACAAAAGTACCCTTTATTTTAATAGCAAAAAGCGCTTAATTAAAGATTTTTTTTATTTAAAAAAAATCATACTAAACTCCACCGGACGTTATGTTACACAATAATGATTTGGCTGCATAATCAATGCCATTTGATTAATTATTATAATTGTAATTATGTGAAATGAAAATATCAGTTTAAATTTAACTAATAATTTGTGTAAATTAAAACTTCCACAACTAATTAGAAAAATACATAATCAAAATATTAATTTAACAAAAAAAAAAAAGAATTTCCATTTAATTTAAATATTAAATACTAAATACTAAATATAAAGTAAAGAATTTTACTTAATGTGCATATTCCAAACTTTATTGTAATAGAAACTAAAAGAATATATATAAAATGGGATATACCTTTTCTAAAATAGTTAATTTTAATGAATTTATAAATGAAAATTAAAACTTTACCTCCAACAATTTTGTACCAATTTTAAAAATAAATAATTAAAAAGTTAAAAATAGATTTATTTTTCTCTTTTTTAATTGGGAAAATTGAATTAAAAGTGATTTTGGATGGAGCCGAAGCACTGATTCCAAAATGGAAAGAAAGGAAGGTGTTTTTGGTAATTTGGGAGTTCTCCCGAGCCCTGTCCCATCGCCTTCAATCCTCTTCTTTCCCGCTTATCCGCTTTCACAGTGCTCTCTCTGAAATTGAAAAGCATTGAAGAAAACGATGAAACACGGATCCAACCCCCCACAACCAGCTACCACCAAATCATCCAAATTTCATTCCAAACCCCACAACCATCCAGATTTTTATTCTCTCTTTCTCTCCTTTCCCTTCTTTTAAGCTCACTCTTTCTCTATGACAACGCCATTTCATTTCCTTCCCTTATTCCTTATAAACATCCCACCCAACCACCGTTTTCCAACGGTTACTTTATCCTGACCCAGAAAAGAAACGGAAAATCTAACAAATAAACCCTTTAAATTCGCCTTTGCTTGCATTCTTCTGCGAGTGGTGAAGTTTCTGGAGGTGGGTTTTTCCAGATTCAGACAGGAGTTGAAGAGATTGGCGTTTAGAGACAGACCCAGATGGATTTATCTTCGTTTTTGACGTCCTTAGGGACGTCTTTCGTGATATTTCTGATTTTGATGCTTGTTTTCGCTTGGCTTTCTTCAAAGCCTGGCAACCATGTCGTTTATTACCCGAATCGAATCCTCAAGGGTCTTGATCCGACCGGCGGGTCGAGGACTAGGAGCCCGTTTGCTTGGATTCAGGAAGCTCTGTCTTCTTCTGAGCAGGATGTGATCTCTATGTCTGGGGTTGATACTGCTGTGTACTTTGTGTTTTTGGCCACTGGTTTGTTCTTCTTTTCTTTCTCGAACGTTTCAGTCTCAATTCGAATCATGTTCTTGTGTGTTTATATTGTTTTAAATGTTGTTTCAGTGCTGGGGATTTTTGTGCTGTCTGCCGTTGTTCTGCTACCGGTTCTTATTCCAATTGCTGTCACAGATGATGGTATTAAGAATGCTAAAATGATCAATAACCAAACCGTTCAGACTTTCAGTGAACTTGACAACTTATCCATGGGAAATATCAATGTAAGCAACGCTAACCACGTTTGGTTTAGAAAATGAAGAACAAAAATTGATACTGAACTGGGGGCTTGGCCTTTATGTTGGTTTGGTACTCAGATTTGAGTTTTGACTTGTTTTCATATGCAGCTGCGGAGTAATCGGCTATGGGCCTTCTTATTAGCCACTTACTGGGTTTCCTTTGTGGCATATTACCTGACATGGAAAGCTTATAATCATGTCTCAGCTCTGAGAGCTGAAGCTCTAATGTCTCCAGAAATAAAGGCTGAACAATTTGCCATTATTGTTAGAGATATCCCTCCTGTTCCTGAAGGTCAAACCAGAAAGGAGCAGATTGATTCCTTTTTTAGGAAACTTTACCCAGATGCATTCTATCGCTCAATGATCGTCACAGACAACAAAGAGGTTTGTTCATCATTTCAACTCTCTCACTTTTGCTTGATCTTGTAGTACGTTTTGTGGTTCTTTTCTGGTTGAAATATATTTCTCTGTGGGATTTTTAAGAAATTTTTTGAATTGTATCTGTGAATTATATTCAAATAGTTTTGAATTCTTCCACGTTATTTGATTGTCATTCATTCTTCCAGGATTGCTTGTGATTCAGTTACTTACGTTTCACCAAACACTGTTTGATTTAAACTTGTTGCGACGAATAGAGTTCGTGTTGTATCCACATATCTTAATGTTGAATGTTAAGCAGGTCAATAAATTGTGGGAGGAATTGGAAGGGTACAAGAAGAAGCTCGACCGGTCTGTAGCGGTTTTCGCAGCTTCAAAAACAGAAGCCAAGCCAGAAGGTGTAAGACCAGCACATAAAACTGGCTTCCTTGGTCTTGTTGGGAAAAAAGTTGACAGCATAGAATTCTACTCCGAGAAGATCAACGAGCTTGTCCCCAAATTGGAATCTGAACAAAAGGCTACTCTCAGAGAGAAGCAGAAGAACGCTGCTTTAGTCTTCTTCAATAACCGGGCAACCGCAGCTTCTGCAGCTCAAAACTTGCACGCGCAAATCGTTGATAAATGGACTGTTCTGGCAGCTCCTGAACCCGGCCAGCTTATCTGGGCTAATCTTTATATAGATTTTATTCATAGACAAGTAAGACAATACATCGTGTATGTCATCGTCGCACTGATGATTCTCTTCTACACGATTCCGATTGCTGCAGTCTCTGCTATTACCACGCTCAATAATTTAAAGAAGTGGCTGCCATTTTTGAAGCCAGTTGTGAACATAGGTGCACTCAAGAGTATTTTAGAAGCGTTCTTACCTCAATTAGCTCTGATTATCTTCTTGGCTATGCTGCCCAAGTTGCTTCTCTTTCTATCTAAATCTGAGGGAATTCCTTCAGTGGGACATGCTGTGAGGGCTGCTTCTGGCAAGTATTTCTATTTCACTGTGTTGAATGTTTTCATTGGAGTCACTTTGAGTGGTGCATTGTTTGAAACCTTGGAGACCATCCAGAAGAATCCCAACTCTCTTGTTCCCTTGTTGGCAAGTAGTCTCCCAGGCAGTGCAACTTTCTTCCTTACCTATGTGGCTCTCAAGTAAGCTCCCGATTCTTAGATCCTTCAGTTTTCTTGTTCGGTTTTAAACTCTTGTCGATTTCTTTTGATCCGTTCCTTATATATGCATGTATGTAATGATACTCGAATTGAAACGGTTTAGACATATTGAGACCATTGGTAGTTCTAAATGTCTAATGGTGTAGATTAAGAACCTAGAAGTAGCAATCGTCGTTTGTGAGCTGATTTTGGTTCTGTTGTCGTTCTTGTTAGGTTCTTCGTCGGTTATGGTCTCGAACTATCTAGGATTGTTCCTCTTATCATATTCCATTTGAAGAAGAAATTCCTTTGTAAGTGTGAAGCTGATGTGAAAGATGCCTGGACTCCTGGAGATCTTGGTTATGGAACTAGAATACCTGGTGACTTGCTCATTTTCACTCTAGTCCTCTGTTACTCTGTCATAACACCTCTGATTGTCCCGTTCGGCGTCATATATTTCGGTCTTGGATGGCTTATTCTTCGCAATCAGGTAAAGTAAATCGATCGATCGTCAATTTTGTGCCTTTTGATCATTGTTTTGTTTGTGTTAATGTTGGTCCTTGTTTTCCAGGCCCTCAAAGTTTATGTTCCTTCCTATGAGACCTATGGAAGAATATGGCCACATATATTCAACCGTATAATCGCGTCGCTCTTGTTGTACCAACTTACGATGTTCGGTTTCTTTGGGGTGAAGAAATTCTTCTATGCTCCAATCTTAATACCACTCCCCATAATCTCCCTGATATTTGCCTTCCTGTGTCACAATAAATTCTACCGAGCGTTTGCTGATACCGCCCTTGAAGTCGCTCGTTATGAGTTGAAGGAAGCTCCCAACATGGAACAAGTGTTTAGATCTTTTGTTCCACCAAGTTTAAGCTCTGAGAAGGTTGATGATGACCAATTTGAAGATGCACGGTCGCAGGTTTCGAGATCAGGATCATTCGTTTAAATACGAACTTTCACAAGAATGCGCCATTCTTGTGAATCTTGCGTGAAAATTAGGTGAAAAATGTTGATAGTTTGGAGTAGGGAGAGATCAATAAGTTTAGATTGTGATTATTGTATATGTCACATTGTGTTTATGTTTGTTGTTTCATTTGGTTTAGTTTAATAGCCATGAGAAAGGTAGGTGATATGTGTTCAAGAAGAATGAATTATCCATAGCAATTCTTCATTTGTGTGTACTTAATGAAATCGAAATAGTGCTATTTTCTTCCTTCAAATTTTGATGAACATTCATTGATTCAAGTTTTGAATGCGTATTGTTTAAGATTTGATGAGCCTAATGAATCAAATGAAAGTAACTGGAAGATAATTGAAATTCTTTCGATTTCATCTATGTATAAATTCAACCACTAAATTTGTAACTTTAACAAACTATTTATTCTTTTTCATGGAAAGGGTTTTGAAGTTGTGGCGTGTGCGCTACAAACAAAATTGAATTGGGAGATGGAGATTGGAATCGCCTTCGAAGCACCCCGCTTAAACCACTGCTAAATCCTTACTTCCCGACGGATGATTTCTCTGCAAACGCTTTGACAAGCAATCCCAGTCGATTGTTTTCAACTCTCAATCGCGGAATCCTGGTGGGTTTTTATTTTGATTTTGATTTTGATTTTGATTTTGATCTTGATCACTGCAAGATGCCTTCGTCTTCTCTGTTTTTCGGAGTCCCGGAAATGGTTGTCAAGAATCGTTTTCTGGGTTTCCTTATTTGGCAGTCCATTCCTTCAACCTTCGTCTTTTTCCTCTTCAAAATCTTCGTTTCAGCCATTTTCTCTGTTTCTGGTAGCAATTCCTCGAGTGGAACTAGCAATCCATCAGCCCCTTTTGCGTCAATGTTCACTGGATTCTTCACTTTTCTTACATTTCATCTCTCTCAACTCCTCTTCTCTGCATCTCTCTCTCTCCTTGCTTCGCCCCAGCTCGAGCGCCCTGCCGCGCCGCTTGAGCTCACTTTTGGACTCGTTCGGTTTCTCGTAGTTTCAGGCGGTGACAATGCTTCATCGACGTCGGCGTTCAATGACTTTCGCCGTCGTGCTACGGTTTCGTTATATTTGCTTCTGTTTGTAGTGGCAACTGCGATTTCAGGTTCCTTGGCGGCCGTCTCTATATGTTGGGGAAAATCGGATGGTCTCAGAAGTGCTTGGCATACGGGTCTTTCGATGGGTCTGATTTATGGCGCTTTCTACGTTTACAGCAAAAGATGGGTTCTAACGTTCCCAATCATACAGGTTAGTTTTTGTTCCTTAGTTTGTAATATCCATCACCATCATATTCATCGTCGTTGAATATCATCGCAAGCTGAGTGTTGGCTATTTATATATTCATACTGTAATTCTTGCCCTTGTTTGGGTGATGTTTCTTGATATCAACTTTCATGATGTGATATTATAATGTGAAAGTGTGTGTATTCTTGCATGTTTGAATGTTGAGCCATTAAGTTTCCAGTTGACTGATTTTCAAATGCTTTTCTCTGAACAGCGTCCCCCATTTTTCAGCTTCAAGATGGGTTTTCCTGCAGCTACCAGATTGGCTTCCAAACTTTCTGCTGCAGCTTTCCTATTTTCAGCTGTATTAATGGTGCTTTTGCCTGATCAATTTAAGAGAAATGTTACAGTCAGGAAGTTCATAGCTAACCAAGCCATTATTTTCGTTGGGAGCTTTGCAATATTTCTTTCTTGGGAATTGACTCAACACTTGCATCAGGTGAGTCTGTTCTTCATATCATATATTTTAGATTTGATACTCAAAACCAACTGTGTTTATGGTGTCATAATCTCGTTCTCATGCTGTATTTCGTGATCTGTTGCTTAAATATGTGGGTTGATTCATTATATCGTTCCTCATAATTGCGTCGGTGTTGCAACAATCCTTACCAATAGGTCACCACTTTAATGTCCCTTGGCTATTTATACACACTTTTTTCTTATTAATATTGTGAAGTGAGCCATTTTGTTCTTCCCTTTGGGTTTTTGAATTGAGGGGTAGATGCCTTTTACCTATATTGTTTTTTTGTTCTTCTTCGTGATCAAACAGAGGACACTGTTCCATGATCCCCTCACTGCATGTAACCTCTATGGCAATTTGGGCATTCCTTGTCTACACATTGAAACTTAAAGAATTAACTCCTGCTATTCCATTGTGAGTGTGATTTACACATTAAGAACATTTTGTTTGAGTTCTTAGTGGCTTGCAGCAGATATTCCGACTCTCTTGTGATTTTGATGAATACCCCCCCCCCCTCTAGGAGACCGTCTATACTCAAGCCCACCGCTAGTTGATATTGTCCTTTTTGGGATTTTTCTTTCGGGCTTCCCCTAAAAGTTATTAAAATGCATCTGCTAGGGAGAGGTTTCCACACCCTTATAAAGGATGCTTCGTTCTCCTACCCAGCTAATGTGGGATCTCACAATTAATCTTTTTTGTTGTGCCATTAAGGACGGTCATTTAACAGTTTAGAACAGAACATTTGTCATGTTAAGACAGGTTTTGCTCTTTATATTGTTCCTCTGTAAGTATGTCTTGCCAGCTTTTTGATTATTTACTGTGTGTAGGTCCTGCATACCAAGAGGTATGCGTTTGCACCTCCAAAGGGATCTGCAGCAGCAGAAACAAATCCCAGTGAGTACCTCTTTGCAGCTTTAGAGGACAGCAATTCAGGGTCTCTTTTGCAATATCTTGCATTTCTAGATCTCTGCATGGTTTGTGAGAACAATGTGGATATATGGAGGAGAGCTGCATTTTTTGAAGAAACAGGTGAGACATATAAGCGAATTATATCCATTTCCTTGAAGCCTTTGGAGCAATTTGCACTGAACTTAGGCCAAGGTTTGGAAGGTGCTGTGGACATTACCTCCCAACTATCGCCAAAGGACTCTCACTTCGACGTAAAACAATTCGAAACTCTTAAAAACTTTCAGGTTCTTACATTGTTTAACCTCGAAAATTAACGAGTTTACTGTGAACATCATCTGTGTGGCTATTGAATGTGACTGATCGTGCTTGCTAAATTTTGCAGTTGTATGCATGGTGTGCTCGAACGGTATCTATGTTGACTGCACGCTCACATGCAGAAGATCGATTCGGTGTTGCTCAACTCTCTGGTAGTAATGCAACTGTTATGTCAACACTGTTGTCTTGCCTGCTTGCTGTTGAAGTGTTGATGGGTAAGAAAACGACTATACAGTCTTCAAACGGTTTATTCGGCCTGTCTAGTATTAAATGGGCAACGTCAAGTATTGGAAGAGTAGATGCTTCGGTTGGTAAAAGGAAAAGTGGTCCGCTACATTCGAAGGCATATGCTATTGCGAACGTATTGAGGGTGTCGATCTATGTCGTCGTTTCTGCATTCCATAACGAGATGGTGAATAGTGCCAAGTCCGGTGTTCTTGAGAAAGATTGGATCACTGGTGAAAAGCCCCTTTATGGTACTCGTGAGTTGCTTCTTCAGAAATTGCATATTTTCTTGGACTTTCAAGCTTAGATAGAATGGCGATTTCATTTTCCCCGTCTCCGCCCCGTTCGTCGAATTATAGCGAATCACTTGTGAGGCAGTTTTGTTGTCTTTGATTCTGAAGAGTTAACTAAGCTGGTAAGTTTGTAGTTCATTGCCTTTCATAAACATCAATCTTTTAGTTGAATCTGTGTCTTTTGACAACACTTCGAATTTCATATCTTTTAGAGACGGGGAATAAATTAATTGATTAAATATTGGTTTACATTTTATTAATTTCTCATAAAATTTCAAATTCATTTACTAGTTTCCATGCGATTATACTTTTCATTCACAGATTATGCTGTGAAATTATTATTATTCACATCTTAAATATAAAATTTTAAAAAATAAATCATATCTTAAAATTTCAAATTAGGAGCCTTAAAATTCTTATTTTAATAGATAAGAAAATTTGTATAGATATAAGTAGAGTAATTGAAGTGAATATCTCATGAAAAGTAAACAAGAGAACCAGTTTTGTTCATTGAGTTCTTCTAAATCCCAATCTGATAAGCCTTAGTTAATTACGGCTCACCATGTGCAGCCTGTAAACTTCTAAGAAGAAAGTGTCTTCCAGATTGCATTTTTGCGCCACATTTTCCAGCAGACCAGCTTCAGAAATTCCAAATTGTTCACAGAAGTGCATTTTTGAGCTATGATGTGCGCAATGAAGCTGTCGACTCTTTGGTCTATGAGGCAGAGGCTTTGGCTGCATGAGCCTGTGTATGGCTGCGTCTGCTTTACATCAATTCTTCATAAGAGACTTGAAGATCTTCAAAACGAGCTCTCTGTAGTTCAAAGCGAGCTTTCGACTTACATGGCATCAGAAACACAAGCTGCATATGTTCAGATCCCGTAGCCATTGCATGAACCTCGAGTGGAATAGACCGAAAACCCATCAGAGCTTTGGCGCGATCATCGGCCGAACAACGAACAACGAACAGCGAACCAAATCTAATGGCTCCTGAGATTCCATTGGCATCTGGAAGGAAAATAATGAAGTGAATGAACGTAGTAGTTGAATATTAAGTTTGAAAAAGGGGCGGGATAAAATTCAGTTAATGCAATTACTGCGGTAAATGTTCTGTGTGATTCAGAAATCAGAACGATAAACAAGAAAATAGATTTTTGAATTTGACATTTCAAAGCAAACAAACAGAAGAAAGCATAATAGTGGTGTAAAGACCTGGTTGAGGTACCGAGATTTCAGCAATCTCAGCCACAAGCACAAACTTAGGCGCTTTTGATAATTTGGCTGGAGGAGGAAGATCAAGGAAACTTCGAACTCAAGGACACAATGATACAGCCTAAAGAACAGATCTTGTTCAAGTAAGGTCCTATGAAGATAAGGGATCTTTTACAACTTTATGATTGCCAAGGTGTTTACAACAATAAGAGAGCAGTGTCTGTATATGTAGAGCCACCGACTTTCAAAATTCTTCCAAGTGATCATCTCGTAATCAAAAGGGTTCCATGAGGCTCTAATTGATATGCCACTGTTTTTAAACCTCACGAGACAAACTTCTCAACGTGAAGCTCTGATATCACAGTGAATTATAGTATATGAAGTAGGACTACAAATCAAATGCACAAAACCAAAGACTGCACAGAAATTGATTAACGAAGGCAGACTAGACAACCTAGTTGGAATGAACTTGCAGCTGAAACAGGCTAATGACTGCAATTTAAAGGGAATGAATCCCTTCATAAGACATCAATATCAGCTGAATTTATACAACTCAAAACGCATACATAAATTGAACTAGCATTACCCCGTAGCTATCTTGGCCATAAAACGCTTCCAACTGCTTGCATGAGTATAACTAAAACTCAAGATTGACAGAAATACAAGTAAAACATACCATTTCTGCAGAGATCTGAGAAGTGTATGGCAACGGACTTACAAGTAAGCTAAGAACATTCATTGACCAGCTATAGAAAAAAAAAGAACACAAAACAATCATCCGTTACCTGCTAAACGTAATCTTCATCATCCAAAACATAAAAGCATCATTTCCCTTCGCATCCTTTTCTGTTTCTTAAATAATTACGGATTCAAAACCACTTTTCAACCTAGAAATAACGACGACCATAAAAAATTTATTATCCTCCAATCATCGGAAATAAAAACGTAAACCTCGATGTCTTTGAAATTGGAGCCAATGGCTAGTTACGAACAAAATTTCAACAAATTCACAGGATTATAACTAACATTTGAAAAAGAGAGAGAAAACAATCACCTGCATAACATTAAGAAGATGAATCGGTAACAAGAAACCCGGACGGCGCGCGTCGGTGAAATACTGAGGGGGTCGAGGGGAAATATTAATGGCGACATCAAGAGATTCTGTAGTATTTAGATTTTAAGGCGGCTTTATATTCAAAAGTTTACAATCCCTAATTAAAACATCAAAATGGGACAATTTTTTTTATTTTTTAAAATTTCAAATATATAATATATTTATTAAATATACAATTTTAATTTTAAGAACATATAATATACTTTTAAAAAAGAGAGCGTAAAATTGAAAATTTCCAAATATTTCATAAATAATTAAAAAAAAAAATCTAAAATTTATAATCTCTGAAGTTCCAGTTCCAAGTTCCAAGTTCCAAGCATGTTCCGATGCGCTCAAACCGAGCATCGTATCTCGCTTCAACTTTCTCCACTCAAACTTTCCCGGAAAATCACCTCTCTTTCATCCTCAGAAAATGCATTTCTCTCTTACAGTTATGCGGCTCCTCCCGATCCAAGTTGAAGCAAATCCATGCTTTCTCCATCAGACATGGCGTCCCACCCCCAAATCCCGACTTCAACAAGCATCTCATTTTCTCTCTCGTCTCCATTTCAGCCCCCATGACCTACGCCACCCGGATTTTCCAACAGATTCAAGCCCCCAATATCTTCACGTGGAACACCATGGTTAGAGGATTTGCCGAAAGCGAGAATCCCAGGCCGGCCGTGGAGCTGTATTCCCAAATGCACGCGGCGTCGTCCATTCAGCCTGATACGCATACTTTTCCCTTTCTTTTTAAGGCTGTTGCTAAGTTAATGGATGCTAGATTAGGCGAGGGGATTCACTCGATTGTTGTTAGAAATGGGTTTGATTCGTTGCTTTTTGTTCAGAATTCGTTGGTTCATATGTACTCTGTTTTTGGGTTTGCTGAGAGTGCGTACAAGGTGTTTGAGTTTATGTCTGAGAGAGATCTCGTGGCTTGGAACTCTGTTATTAATGGCTTTGCTCTTAATGGAATGGCGAATGAAGCTCTGACCCTTTTCAAGGAAATGGGCTCTGTGGGTGTGGAGCCTGATGGGTTCACTATGGTTAGTTTGTTATCTGCTTGTGTTGAGCTGGGGGCACTGGCCTTGGGGGAGCGGGTTCATGTGTATATGTTGAAGGTTGGTTTAGTACAGAACCCACATGCTAGCAATGCGCTTCTTGATCTCTATTCCAAATGTGGGAACATTACACATGCACTGAAGGTGTTCGACGAAATGCATGAAAGGAGTGTGGTTTCTTGGACTTCTCTGATTGTTGGGTTGGCTGTTAATGGATTAGGAAATGAAGCTCTTAAACTGTTTGGGGAGTTGGAAAGGAAGGGGTTGAAGCCTAGTGAGATCACATTTGTTGGAGTTTTGTATGCCTGCAGCCACTGTGGGATGGTTGATGAAGGCTTCGATTACTTTAGAAGGATGAAAGAAGAGTATGGCATCTTGCCAAGAATTGAGCACCATGGCTGTATAGTCGATTTGCTGTGCAGAGCGGGCAAGGTCAGAGATGCTTACCAGTATATTCGAAACATGTCGGTCCCGCCCAATGCAGTCATTTGGCGGACCTTATTGGGAGCTTGCACAATCCATGGCCATTTGGAACTAGGTGAGATTGCAAGAGCTGAAATCCTACAATTAGAACCGAAGCATTGCGGCGACTATGTCCTTCTCTCGAACCTTTATGCATCGGAGCGACGTTGGCTAGATGTTCAAAACGTGAGGAGGACAATGCTTATGAAAGGAGTGAAAAAAACTCCTGGGTATAGCCTTGTCGAGTTGAAGAATCGTGTTTATGAATTTATCATGGGCGATCGATCTCATCCTCAAAGTGAGGAGACATACGCAATGCTGGGGAAGATCACGGAGTCGTTGAAAATCGAAGGATACGTTCCTCGCACGGTTAATGTTCTTGCAGACATAGAAGAGGAAGAAAAGGAGACGGCATTGTCTCATCATACAGAGAAAGTTGCAATTGCTTTCATGTTGGTTAACACTCCACCTGGAACTCCAATTAGAATCATGAAGAATTTGAGAGTTTGTGCAGATTGTCACCTGGCAATCAAACTAATATCCAAGGTTTTCGAACGAGAGATCGTCGTAAGGGATCGTAGTAGATTTCATCATTTTAAAGACGGTTTGTGCTCGTGTAAAGATTATTGGTAATATTAGTATCGTCTCCTTATTATATACCTCCATTGACGTCTGTAATTTTTGTTTAAAGGAGAACGATGATTCTATATTGTTTGATATAGAAGATTTTGTTTTTTTATTTATAAATTTACTAAATAGACATGTATTTAACGTTTTTTTAAAAAATATTTTAATTTTGTGATTTAAATAGTAGAAATTATTTATTTAAATCTTAAATTAAAAAAATACAATAAATTTTATAAATATAATATTTTTATATTTTAAGCTCATATTAGTTTTGTTAAAATTAAAATATATATCTTGAATATTAAAAATTTATTCCAACGGTATGATTAAAATAAATTGTCATGGCTATGTCTTCTCGTGCAAGAATTCGGCCTCTGGTGGGGACATCATCCACGTGTCGAAATGTAAGTGGTCAGAAATATGTAATATTAATAATAAGAGATTGAGAATGAAATTATAAATTCATCCTTAAAATGTTATTTTTTAACCCGCGAAACAGTCTCATGAAAAAGGCGCGTGCGGGTTTGGCGTATAATTTAAATATATATATATAGGCGCGAAGCGACATCCTCACACATCGGCGTCTTCTTCTTCGTTTTCGTTCTTAGCCGCCATTTTCGCTGCTCCTTAGCTCAATTCTTCTTCACTGCGTTTTAGTGTTTTGTTTAGGTATCTTATTGTTGATTGTTTTTTTCTTTTTCAATGGGGGATTTCAGTCACCTGGAGAAGATGGGAAGAGAGCTCAAATGCCCAATTTGGTAACTCACTTCTCAATTGCTTTAGCATTTTAATCATTTCTCTCTCTCCCTCTTTCTTTCTTTGTTCGAGTTTGATTTCCAAGAATTAGGATTTTTTTTCTTTTTCAGATTACATAACATTTAGTTTAACAATCTGAAAATGGCTCTTATGTTATTATGGATTTGATTGTTGATGATGTATATTTATCTGATTCATGTGATTCATCTTTTTTCGCTACTTATTTCGTGAATTTTTCCGGAAATTCTCTGCAGTTTGAGCCTTTTAAACTCTGCCGCTTCACTGGGATGCAACCACGTATTCTGCTAGTAAGGCTCTCAACACAATCGATTTCCCTTTCTGTTTAATTATCTGTAAAGACGTCGGCCGAAGGAATCCTATGGTTTTCTGACCTCTTATTTGTTGTGAGTTTAGTGTATGTATAGAGAAGTCAATGAAATCGGCTTCAAACTGCCCAGTTTGTAAGGTGCCTTTTCGGCGTAGAGGTATGATTTTCTTAACATTTGGAGGTCTTGAACTGCCTTATATGTCTCCATTTTACGAATAAAACTGGCATGCACATATCTGCTATTAATATCTGTTAATTATGCTACGCCTCACATTCTGTTTCATTTCCTACAATCTCTTTTGGTTTTTGAAGAAGTTTCGTTGGCTCATTTTCTGACATTCTTTTTCATTAGGGAATAATAAAATGTAAAAATCAATGACCATTCATTCTAGGAGAATATATAGTGGTATTCCTTAAGAAATATGATTTCTGTCAAATTTTATCATGTCTACTAATTTTATTCTTGCTCTTTACAATCTTGTCTTCAGAAGTTCGTCCTGCTCCACACATGGATAATTTGGTGAACATTTACAAAAGCATGGAAGCTGCTTCGGGAATGAATATATTTATTTCTCAGAATTTGTCTTCTGCTAAGTTATCTGGTAAGATCGTAGTGAACATGGAAGACACTCGATTCCATTTTCTTACTATAACCTCAATGCAACTTATGCAATTCAAAATTTGATAGAATTTCTAATCACGCTCTTTCCTTTTGTTACTCCATACTGAAGATGGAGAGAATCAAGTGGAAGGTGATGGCAAAGGTTCAAAACGGCATAATGCAGAAACCAGCGAGTTCATAGCTTATGAACAAAGAACTTTGGAAAAAGAGCCACAAAGGACACGAAAATCCAAGCGGAAGAATTCTGCTTGTTCCCCTGTGAAACCTTCATTTCCAAGAAAGAAAAGGGTTCAGGTGCCGCAGTGTCCCCTTTCAGAAACACCTACCCGATCTGCAAAGTTAGTACATAGTTTTAACAAGGAGAATGAAGAACCGAGAAAAAGTGCAGTTGCTTCGGAGAATAAAGGTCAGCCAGTGCTTTCGCCTTTTTTTTGGTTGAGAGAAAGAGATGAAGATGAAAAGTCAAATCAGCAGTCTGATATGGATCAGCCTACGGACTCAATGACAATGAACGTTCTTTCCTTCAGTGATGTTAAGGATTCACTGGATGAAAGCCCTTCAAAGCCTTCAATGGTGAGTTTACTAGAAACATCTTGTGATTAAATCACTGTGGATATTGATTACAAAGCAAGTACAACAAAGTATGCAATCATTCTCACAACTTTATGTAGTTTCAATATCTTCTGCACTTAAAGTAATGTTACTCTTCTACAATCATTTTGGAAATTTCTATAAAATACATGAACATTGAAACAACCATTAAGCTCTGATGTAGGCTGCAGGCTACACATATTCAACCTCTCTTGTTATGTCATGTGTGGGCCTGCGGCAGCCTACAAACTTGACGTCTATTTTATTAGAAAAAGAGAAAGAAACAAAGCTAGTAACCCTCTACATTTTGAAATTTCTGATTTTGCTTATTTTATCTCGTTTTCCTGATGTAGGAGGAAGTGTGCGACAAGCCATCCTACGACTTGGATCTTTTTGATAGTGAAATGTTTGAATGGACTCAAAGAGCATGTTCCCCCGAACTTTGTTTAAGTCCCTTTAAACTGCAGGTATTAAAAATTTCATCATCACATCTGATAGATACATCAGAATTCCCCCCATACACTCCATTTAATTAATGCCATCAACGTGTGCAGGTTGAAGATATTGCCAGAACTGAAATAGCATTATTAGCAGCAGCACCTAATGAAGAACCTAGGGTTCAAAATCTAAATGGAAGGTCTAATCACAGTGGTGGTATACCGGACGAGTTGGTGGTAGCTGATGTGTCCCTTCT